AAGATGGGAAGAATTTGGAAAGAGTTTAAGGAAGGGAAAAGAATGATTGATAGTTATATATGAAAATAGTTTAAATTAAAATAAAGAAAAAAACTGTATCAATGACTACTATGCAAATTTGTTAAGCATTTAAACTACTGCGTTTATTTTGTTTTGAACCATCTAACAACCTGATTATGATCATGTTTGTCATCATAATGTCTTTATTTCTTCCTCAGATTATTTAATGACTTTGTGTGTGAGGCTATACCTTTCAATTCAGGAATTAATTTCCAGAATTTCTCCATCTGGTATTCATCACTTCTTTAAATGTTTTTGATGAGCATGTGTTTATTTTCTTGATTTCTTGAATATATTAAGTATTTATCTGCATCATTTAGTCTGGTGCATTTCGAATAGGCAGATTGACAAATATACAGTGTATAAATATAGTAATGTAGTTCCTATTTCTTTCATAGGTTTTTGATTTTCAGTTGTCTTTGGAGGACATGAAAGTCATTGATGGCCTTAATAAAAATGTGCGATACATAAGTTTCACAAAGTAAGTAGTTTCAGTAAACGTTTTTTTCTCAACTTTTTTTCTGAGGTGGATGTAGCATAATTGTTATCATTTGCTGCAGTTTAAGCAAGGAATACAGAGACCGTGTTAAACCAAAAGGGAAAAAAGAGCTTCATCCTCTGTTTCTAGCCTCCTGTGAATTCTGTCCATTGTGACAGAAGCAGGACTGTGGACCCAGGCTTATACTGACCTCACGCATTTTACTACTCTTCTCCTGTTTCAGGGACAGTTTTCTGTCTCATCAGTGCTGGGTCTCAGTTCTTGATGTGGGTTTTCGAATTTATCTGTCCTGTGATTTGCACTTGAGGCATTTAAACAAGCCTCTTGAAGCATTTTTAATTCAATGTCATGTAATTTTACCTATACCTGCTTAGTTTCTAATTATTTTAAATGCATGACAGCCAATCCTGTGGTCTATGATATTTCCTCCAGGTGAATTGTTTATTGAATTCAGTAAGTTTAATTTTTTCAATGGTTTGAAAAGTTCCACATCTTTTATATAGCACCTTTCCTTCAGGTCTTTATGTATTGTGTTTGTGTTTATAATGACTGGCTTAATGAATTCTGTAGCTCACTTGGTCTTGGTTTTCTAGAATATAGAGACCTCAATGTTGAAGATTAAGAAGTACTAGAAAATAAAATTATGAACAGAATTATGGAATGTAGAAAACAATGCCAACTGTAGGAGACCTTTTAACCAACAAAAAGTGTTATTCTTCCTTAATGCTATATGCACATAGTTATCTCTATAAATAGGAAAGATATTCTTATTACATGCATGACAGAAGAATTGTATATGTATTTCTTCAACTACTGGGTAATTACTTCTAAAAGGACATAAATATGAGAATTGTTGAGCTAACATATTGAAAAATTGCTAGTACAGAGAGCAGCAGGCAGGCCAGTCTGTTTGGAGCAACCTCAGCAGTGTGATGGGTAGGCCAGGCCACCAGGAGCAGACTTTGCAGCACCTTTTCTGGGTCAGTCTGCCAAGAGATGTCTCAGCAGTGCAGCAGAAGGGACAGGCCACTGGGAGAAACCTCAGCAGTACTGCCGATCATGACAACACCAGTGAATTATGAGCCAGGAAATCTGGGACAGCATGAAAAGACTGAATCTAAGAATAATAAAAAATTGAAGGAGAAGAAGCCCAATTCAAAGACAAAGAAAACATATTCAGCAAAATCATAGAAGGAAACTTTCACCAACCTAAAGACAGACAATTTTCAAGTAGCCTATGAAAATACTAGAAGTTTACAAACCACAAAATAGACCAAAAGAATGTTCATTTGCAGCATAATAATCAAAACACTAAACATACAAAATAAAGAAAGATTATTGAGAACTACAATTGAAAAAGGCCAAGTAACATATAAAGGCACACCCTATCAGAATTATACTCCACTTTTTATTGGAAACAATGAAAGACAGAAAGTCCTGGCTAGGCATTATGAACAAAATAAGAAAATGTTGATGCCAACCCAGACTAAAATATCCAGCAAAACTTTCAATCAGTATAGACAGAGACACAAGATATTCCATGACAAACCAGATTTAATCACTATCTACTCTCAAATACTGTCCTACTGAAAGTATTAGAAAGAAAACTCCAATACAAGGAAGTTACAATAACCACAAAAACATAGTCAATAGGTAATCACACACCAGAAAATCACAAAGAATAGAAACACACACACACACACATACACACACACACACCACCACCACCACCACCACCAACAACAACAACAACAAAAACAAAAATAACAGGAACTAGCAATCACTGGTCATTAATACCCTGTATATCAATAGACTCAATTTGCCTATAAAAAGATATAGACTAACAGATTGGTTATAAACAGAGAGCCCATCATTCTGTGACATACAAGAAACATGCCTCAACATTAAAGACAGATATTACCTCAGAGTAAAAGGTTCGGGAAAGACTTTCCAATCAAATGTACCTATGAAACAAGCTGGTGTAGCTATCCTAATATATAACAAAGTAGACTTCAAACTAAATTAATCAAAAGATATGAAGAAGATCATTTCATATTCATCACAGGAAAAAATCCATCAAGATGAAATCTCAGTTCTGAACATCTATGCCGCAAATATAAGGGTACAGTCCTTTGCAAATGAAACACTATACTGAGCTTAAATCACGCATCAGACCCAACACACTGATAATGGGAGACTTCACCACAGCACTTTTATCACTTGAGAAGTCTGCCAGACAGAAACTTACCAGAGAAATAAAGGAACTCACAGATGTTATGACTCAAAGGGGCTGAAGAGATATCAATAGAACATTTCACCCAAACCCAAAAGAATATAACTTCTCCTACACCTAACAAGTGACCTGTATGATACGAACTATTAATCCTTGAAAGAAATCAAAGAAGACAATAGAAAATGGAAGGATCTATCATGCAACCGTGATTGTGTTCCTTGCCTTCTACCTTGTTTGAGACAGAATATCTTGTTTCCACTGTGTATTTCACGTTGTCTGTAGGTTTGCAGGAAGTTTTCTGTTTCCACTTTCCATGTCACCGTGGCGAGTTATTACAGTTGCACGCTACCATGGCCAGTTTTATGTGGACACTGGGGATCAAAACTCACACCACACATTTGCACCAAAAACATTTCTCCACTTAGAAATATTTCTAATCCATTATTTCTACTTCGACATCAAGATTAGTATAGTGCTTGCAGGTTTTTAGCAAGTAAATTATCAAGTAAAATTTGAGGTGAAATTGATGCCTCCCATTTATATCTCCCTGAAGTATTTCTTGTTGCAGAGTGTGTAGTTTGCCTTGTTATTTTCAAAACAAGGTGACTAGTTTCTGCTTTCATTAAGAATTTAAAATTAAACCAGCTGGACTGGGAAAGAACATGCATAGGAACAAACTAGTCCCTCTGAATATGGTTGACAATTACAGGGCTGGGGAAAACTGAGGGCCCACTGGCAGTGGCAGCAGAATTTATCCTACTGCCTGTACTGGCTTTTTGGGAACCTATTCTCTTTGGAAACCTATTCTCTTTGGAAACCTATTCTCGTTGGAAACCTATTCCCTTGATCAGCCTAGATATAGTAGGCAGGCCCTGGAACATTCCCCAAAGTAATGGGCCTTACCCTCTCTGAGGAGTGAATAGAGGTAGTGGGGAGGTAGTTGGAGGGAATGGTAAGAGGGTAAGGAGTGGAAACTTGGATTCCATGTATACTGAAAAAAGACAGTTTGTTCTCTTTTTTTAAAAAAATAAAAAAAGAATTTATCTTCTTTGGATAGATTTATATTTGACAATTTAAATATTATTTTCTGTGTATGTGTTAGGGGAAGGAGCATAATATGCAATATTTATTTAGTTTTGTTCAAGCATTTATAAAATAATGTTTAAGGTAGACTATGAATTACCAGAAAATAAAATTTTGTATTTTGTATTTTTGCATAACAGCTTCATAGAAGTCACTCAAAACTCATATGATTTCTTTGTCTTTCTAGATTTAAGGGCCAACCTGAATTTCCATTTTCAGATGAATATTAACATGGAGACCTCCCTGTGCCAGGCCTTGTGCTAGAAGTCCATGCATGTGGATATACAGAGGAAGACTGCCCCAGTGGTGGTTATTACATACACCACCCCAGTCCTTTCTGGGAAACCCTGGTTTGTTGAATCTACAGCTATATGCAATGAAACAAGCACAGTATATATTTGCCCCTTCCTGAATGGAAATAAAAGAAAATTTTCTTCAGCATTTATCTATGCCAGTTTGTAATATTTACTTATTTTAACTTCTCCTGACTCATTTAGATCTCTAAAGCATTTTCATAGAAATGTGTGCACAGGGCATGTAATGATAAAAGACATTTTATAAACATACCTAACATGTTAGTGAACAAAATTATCATCATCTGCAAAGTAGCAGTTATCAAGTGTCTATTGATATGTTTTTCTCTAGCATTTGAAGGAATAAGAAGTGTATTATGTGTAGTATAGCAAGTAAACCATACATAGGCAGGGCAGCCTTTAGTCATATGTTTCTCCAGTAATCTAGATACTGAACTATCCTTGTGGGAGGGTTTACGAGGCGATGAGGGTAAACCAGTTTTCATGGATCATGAAGACTCTAATGAAGGGAGATCTAGAAGGGACAATTTGAGTGCGTCTTTGCTTGGAAAACATGAATCAATATCCTTTGAGAAATATATCTAACCAATAATAATATGCTTTGTATGTTATGTGCCCCCAATTTGGTGATGTGCATTAAATGTGGAGCCCAGTATGTCCCCAGGAAAAGAAATAGACTTACTCATGTGTTGGGGGTTCTACCCAAATCTGCACTTCCCTCCTCCCGATACAGGACATGCACTTTCCCGTATCTCGCCACGAGCTTGGGGTAAGGTTCTAGGGGTTAAACAGAGATGCACACACACAGAGAAAGAGTTCTGGGTCATTTGCCCAAAGGTAAATGCCAACTTTATTCAGTTTTCACCAGGTTAAATACTTCTTTCTCAGAAGAGCAAACCCCCTCCCAGCCAGGTGTGAGAAAATAGCGCTATCAGCTTGGCGCCCCTGAGAAATTCCTCCGCAGGCAGGGGGGTGATAGCAAGAGTCTAGCGACAGACAGTTAGGAGAATAGTCAGGCGCCGTGAGAATCCTTCTCTGTAGGTGGAAAATTACCATATCAAAGATAAAACAGATCTCAAGCCTAACCCACCCGGCTGGGAGAGCACAGCACAGGATCTAGCAGGAAGCTTGGCTGGCGGGCGAGAAAAGTCCTTGCATCTTGTGTTTGTGCCTCATGGAGTAGGGAAGACAGTGCCCTATATGTCCCCCATTTATATAAATTTAAGCAACTATGCCTGTGTTAGGCGGCATGGAAGTCAGGCAGAAACTCGTTACCCTTCATGGGAACGTGTCCAGGTTCAACACATTGAACCCATCTTAGGTTGGGATGGCCCCCCATAGAACCTAACCTGTCTCTGGCCATTAGTTACTCATCACCAAGTTTAGCCAGATTTACATTGAAAGACATTCTGAGGCGAATGCCAAAAGGACTTGCCATGTGGCAATATTGACCTGAGTTTGCCTTTGGCCCTGGCATCATGAAATCATGAGGATGATGTGCCAGTGTATGCAAGCAATCCTAAAGGAGATTGTGCCTGCACAATCCCTAAGAAGTCTGCTCAGAATGGAGCTCTTTAAGTAAGGGCTTCAGCACCGGTGAATGGAGCCCCTGGTACAGCTAGTTAGATCATAATTAATTGTAAATCTTGTATTCCAGGGTCTATGAAAAACAGCAGAAAGCCTTTCCTGTGACCAACAGAGGCAAAAACCCACAACCAATCCGTAAAGATTAATTGCAGTATTTAATCGTGAATTTAGCTCAATTTGAATGACCATGGTATTTTACCACCTGCCTTGGAAATTCTCACGGCGCTCAGCAGAAGCAGCTGACAGGATAAGGAAAAAAAAGGGAAAACTGGCAGCAAGTCGCTTTTGGCGCTGAAGCAATGACTGACAGAGCATGGGGGAGGGCAGAAGGGCAAAGGGAGAGTCCTTGGCACTCGGACCGCCTCTCAGGAATCCATCAGCTACACGGTTGACAGGTCAGTGTTGGCTGAACCTCCTGGCTTTGTTCCGTCCTCAAGCCTCTCGACAGAAAAATCCACAGTACGAACAAGCTGCCCCAGTACCCAAATGGGATGGTCTGCGTCCTGCAGAAACACATATATACCCCTTCTCTCCCCCAAACCAACACGTGGTCTGTTTGCCTCCTTTGGCAAATCCTACCAGCATGTGCCATCACAACCGGCTCCCCTTGCCGGTCTCTGGTGGTGGAGTGACGTCCTCTATTTGTTTAGGAACTTAATTGTAACCAGGCTGGCCTTGGACTTATAGACATCTGTAGGTCTCTGTCTCCAAAGAGCTGGGATGGGAGGCATGCACCACCATCGTCCCCTGCAGGGCCGCTGTCAATCACAGCGGTTGCCCGGGTCCCTCCCCACACCACCTGGTTCTGGGCCACCCGCGGGCTCCACTCCACACGGCCCTGCCGCCTGGCGTGGCCTGCCACAATGAAAACAATTTCTAGATCTAATTCTGCCTGTAACTTCCCCAGGGGCAGAAGCAGTTGTCTGTTTCTCAGTACTTGCTGATCGATAGTTTCCTCAGCAGGATAAACTGGCCTCTCTCTACTTAGATTATTGGGTCTGTCTGACATCTCTCGTGTTTCCGCCTCTAGATCCATAGGGGCAAAAGCAGTGGCACAATGGTTAGGGGTAGCAAAGAATGTCTTTTGTGGTGGAGATCTCATAGGGAGATCTCTGTTTGCTATCCCACCTTTTTCTTTTTTTAGCTGTTTGTTTAGAAGTGCGATTTCACCTTTCAAAACCTCTTTTTCCTCTTTTAAATCCTCGACGCTCCTGGCCTCTTGCTCCTCAAAACTCCTGATAGAGTTCATAGATTCTACTTTCTGAATTTATTCAAGGGTTTTGTTTCAAACCTCTAACTGCTCTTTTACTATCACATCGTTACTGAGGAGAGCATCTCTGATTAAACACCATAGCAAAAAAACTGCTAGAGGGAAAGCTCTAGGTCCCCGTTCTTTCTGTGCAGTATGAAGGTCAGCCTTCACCTGTTCCCAATCCGTGATATTAAAGCCTCCAGCAATTAAAAACCAAGGACTAAACTCTGGAATCGTCTTAACGACCTCCTGTGTCATCTCAATCCTAACATTGGTGCCCAGCTTTTCCAGAAGGCTCAGCACTTGGTCTGTTAACCGATCTTTTAATGCCGTGACAGACATTTCTGCACCCATTGTCAATCCAAACCAATCCACCCTTTTCATTCACTTAGCTGGCTAGTCTAAGAGGGCGACCCCACGGATTCCTACCTTCCCAGAAACTCGTAAATGGGTGTTGCAGACGAGTAGAATGTGGGTGCTTCTTCTCCGATCCCAAGCAAGTTTTCTTTTTCAGAACAAACACAAAATATCACATAACACCCATCATTTTACTCTAAGTAGTGTCTTAGGGTTTCTATTGCTGTGAAGAGACTCCATGGTCACAGTATCTCCTATAAAGGAAAACATTTAATTAAGGTGATGGCTTACATTTCTGAGGTTCAGTCCATTATCATCATAGTGAGGAGCATGGTGGCAAGCAGGCAGACATGGTGTTGTCTCCATCTTGATCAGTAAGCAAGAGGAAGTGGACTGTAACACTGGGTGGTATATTGAGCATAGAAGAACTGAAAGCACATGCCCACAATGAATCATTAGCTTTAATGAGGCACTACCTACTCCAAAAAGGTCATATTCCTTAGTGGTGACACTTCCTTTAGGAGCCATTTTCTTTCAAGCCACTATATTCCATTCCCCGGTCCCCAAAATTCTAGCCATATCATAATGCAAAAAATGCTATCAGTCCAACTTCAAAACTCTCCATAGTCTATAGCAGTCTCAAACTTGTTTCAAAATCCAAATTCTCTTCTGAGACTCATCTCAATCTCTTACCTATAATCACATGTAAAATTATCTTGGATTTTTATGCTACTTTGCTTTGTCCTGAAACTTATACAATTAGGAATTCAACTACTGTGCTTTGCTTTTGTGGGATTTTTTTTTCTTAGTATTTCTAAAAGTCTTTTTTTGGCAACAGGACGCTATTGCTAACAATAACATTCATACAGCTCATTCAAAGTAGAGAGATCGAGTTTGAACCCTCATCATGGAGCCTTCACTTCTAAATTCTAATCTCTATACCATGAAACAATACTCTGCATACTATGAATAAAAACATGGACACCAGCTTTGCTATAAAACTCTCAACCTACAATCTCTCCTGTCTGTAAGTGGTTTTAGGGTAATCACTGTTGGCACAGAACTTGTAGGAGTAGCCAACCAATATCTGTTTTCACAAGAGGCCCACATTCAAGAGGGAGGCCATGCCCTACACTGCCTGGATCGGCAGGAACAAGAGACTGGATTTCCTAGAGACCTAGGGGAAAACCAAACACTACTGTACTCTAACCTCTCACTGGCCTGTTCAATTTGATTCACTTCATAACTAAGCTGTGGTTTCAGGTCTCTGGCTTATGGCAGAAGTCCAAGTATGTAGTGAGAGAAAACAATGGTTTCTGTGAGATACAGAGGATGGACTGTGATTGGGATTGCAGGTCTCTGACCTCAAACAGAACTGGTTTGACTTCATACAGGCTTAGATTTCAGTGAATTGCTGTGCGTGCTGCAAGATTCTGTTTATTTCCCTTGCTGATTCTTTCACTGCTTTGGACACAGCTTCTTAAAAGAGCCTGAATAATGCTAATTAGCAAATATCAAATGGATTCTTGGTGTGTCTGAGTTTGAATTTAGAACCTCATAGGCTAAGATTTTATTAATCTCATTCTGTAACTTTATTTATTTATTAACAATTTCAACCTCCTCCCCTTCTACCAATATCCTCCCACTTTCCCCACTCCCTCTCTCTCTCCCTCTCTAGTCCTAAGAACAGTCAGGGTTCCCTGCCCCATGGGAAGTCCAAGGTCCTCCACCCTTGATACAGGTCTAGGAAGGTGATCATCCGAACAGACTAGGCTCCCACAAGGCCAGTCCATACAGTAGAATCAAAACTCAGTGCCATTGTCCTTGGCTTCTCAGTCAGCCCTCAATGTCAGCCACATTCAGAGAGTCCAGTTTGATCACATGTTCCATCAGTCCCAGTCCAGCTAATCCCATTAGATCAGTCCATTGTCTCAGTGGGTGAACACACCCCTTGCAGTCCTGACTTCCTTGATCATGTTCTCCCTCCTCATTTGGACCTTGGGAGCTCAGTCCAGTGCTCCAATGCGGATCTCTGTTTCTATCTTCATCCATCGCTGGATGAAGGTTCTATGGTGATATGCAAGATATTTATCAGTGTGACTATAGGATAAGGCCAGTTCAGGCACCCTCTTCTCTGTTGCCCATGGAACTAGTTGGAGAAATCCCCTTGGACACCTGGGAACCCCTTTAGAGCCAAGACTCTAGACAAACCTAAAATGGCTCCCTTGGTTAGAATAACTTCTTCCCTGCTCCCATATCCACCCTTCCTTCATCTCAATTATCCCATTCCCCTGAGCTCTCCCAATCCTCCCCTTCACCCTTCTCTCTCTCCATCTCCCCTTCCCTCCAATCCATGCTTACTCCCTGCTCCCAACTTTTGCCCAAAGATCTTGTCAACTTCCAATATCCTGGAGGATAAATATATGTTTTCTTTGGGTTCACCTTCTTATTTAGCTTTTCTAGGATCACAAACTATAGGCTCAATGTCCTTTGTTTATGGCTAGAATCCGCTTATGAGTGAGTACATACCATATTCCTCTTTTTGAGTCTGGGTTATCTCACTCAGTAAAGTGTTTTCTATTTCCATCCATTTGCATGCAAAGTTCAAGATATCACTGTTTTTTTTACCTGAGTAGAACTCTAAAGTATATATGTGCACACCTTCTTTATCCATTTTTCCATTGAGGAACACCTAGGTTGTTTCCAGGTTCTGGCTATTACAAATAGTGCTGCTATGAACATAGTTGAACAATGCTTTTGTAGTATGATTGGGCATCTCTTGGATATATTCCCAAGAGTGGAATTGTTGGGTCCTGAGGGAGGTTGTCTCCCAGTTTGCTGAGAAGCAGCCACACTGATTTCCAAAGTGGTTGCACAAGCTTGCATTCCCACCAACAATGGATGAGTGTTTCCCTTACTCCACATCCTCTCCAGCATAGGCTATCATTGGTGTTTTTGATTTTAGCCTTTCTGACAGGTGTAAGATGGTATCTCAGAGTTATTTTGATTTGCATTTCCCTGATCGTTAAGGAGGTTGAGCATGACCTTAAGTGTCTTTTGGCCATTTGACCTTCTATTAAGAATTCTCTGTTCAGTTCTGTACCCCATTGTTTAATTGGGTTAATTAGAGTTTTAATGTGCAGTTTCTTGAGTTCTTTATATATTTTAGAGATCAGACCTTTGTCTGATGCAGGGTTGGTGAAGATCTTCTCCCATTCAGTAGGTTGCCTTTTTATCTTAATGACAGTATCCTTTGCATTACAGAAGCTTCTCAGTTTCAGGAGATCCCATTTATTTATTGTTTCTCCTATTGCCTGTGCTACTTGGGTTCTACGTAGGAAGTGGTCTCTTGTACCCGTGTATTGCAGACTACTTCCCACTTTTTCTTCTATCAGGTTCAGCATGGTCAGATTAATATTGAGGTCTTTAATCCATTTGGACTTGAGCTTTGTGAACGGTGATAGATATAGATAGATTTTCATTCATCTACATGTTGAAATCCAGTTATGCCAACACCATTTGTTAAAGAAGCTTTCTTTCTTCCATTGTATAATTTTAGCTCCTTTGTCGAAAATCAGGTGTTCATAGGTTTGTGGATTAATATCTGGGTCTTTGATTCGATTCCATTGGTCAACATCTCTGTTTTTATGCCAATACCAAGATGTTTTCATTTCTGTAGCTCTGTAATAGAATTTGAACTTAGGGATGGTAATGCCTCTGGAAGTACTTTTATTGTATAGGATTGTTTTGGCTATCCTGGTTTTTTTGTTTTTCCATATAAACTTGATTAGTGTTCTCTCAAGGTTTGTGAAGAATTTTGTTGGGATTTTGATGGGGATTTCATTGAATCTATAGATTGCTTTTGGTAGAATTGCCATTTTTACTATGTTGATCCTCCCAATCCAAGAGCAAGGGAGATCCTTTCATTTTCTGATATCCTTTTCAATTTCTTTCTTCAAAGACTTAAAGTTCTTGTCAAATAAATCTTTCACTTCCTTGATTAGAGTTACCCCAAGATATTTTATGTTATTTGTGGCTTTCTGCTTCTTTATCTTTTGTGTATAGGAGGGCAACTGAAGCCGCAGGGTGATTGGTAATGAAAAATCCCCAGACTATCTTGATACAAAATACACAGCTTTAATAAACAGAAGTAAGACTTACAACAGCTTACACCAGAATCCAAACGATCCATCCGGATGCAGGAGCCAGGCGAAAAAACAGGCTAGCGAGCGCACTTGCTAGGTTTATATGCAGGCTTTAGCCTGATGGCGGCATGCCCCCAACACAGAATGTGATTGACTGAACTCCCCTATCAGGCAACTGATTTTTTGGAGTTGATTTTGTATCCTGTCACATTACTGAAAGTGTTTATCAGCTGGAGGAGTTATTTGGTAGAGTTTTGGGGGTTGCTTATGTACACTATCATATCGTCTGCAAATAACGAAAGTTTAACTTCTTCCTTTCCAATTTTAATCCCCTTGATCTCCTTATGTTGTCTTATTGCTATTGCCAGAACTTCAAGCACTATATTGAAGAGGTATGGAGAGAGTAGACAGCCTTGTCTTGTTCCTGATTTTAGTGTAATAGCTTTGAGTTTCTCTCCATTTAATTTGATGTTAGCTGTCAGCTTCCTGTATATAGCTTTTATTATATTAAGTATGACCCTTTATCCCTAATCTCTACAAAACTTTATGAAAAATTTGTGTCAAATTCTTTTTCAGCATCTAATGAAATGATTGTATGGGTTTTTTCTTTCAGTTTAATTATGTGATAGATTACATTGATAGATTTGCATATGTTGAACCAGCCCTGCATCTCTGGGATGAAACCTACTTGATCATGATGGATATTTTTCTAATGTGTTTTTGGATTTGGTTTGCCAGTATTTTATTGAAATTTTTTGCGTCAATGTTCATGAGTGAGATTGGTCTGTAATTCTCTTTCTTGGTTTAGTCTTTGTGTGGTTTTGGTTTCAGGGTAACTGTAACTTCATAAAAGGAGTTTGACAATGACTCTTCTGTTTCTATTTTGTGAAGTACATTAAGGAGTCTAGGTATTAGCTCTTCTTGGATGTTCTGGTAGAATTCTGCATTGAAACCATCTGGTCCTGTGCTTTTTTGTAGGGAGGTTTTTGATAACAGCTTCTAATTGTTTGCGACTTACAGGTCTATTTAAATTGTTCACCTGGTCTTGATTTAACTTTGGCATGTGGCACTTATCTAAAATATGTCCATTTCTTTTACATTTTCCAATTTTGTGGTATACAGGCTTTTGTAGTAAGATCTATTGATTCTCTGAATTTCCTCTGTGTCTGTGGTTATGTCCCCCTTTATATTTCTGATCTTATTAATTTGTGTGTTCTCTTTCTTCCATTTGATTAATATGGCTGGGGGTCAATCTTGTTGATTTTCTCCAAAAACCAGCTTTTTGTTTCATTGATTCCTTGGATTGTTTTCTGTGTTTCAATTTTGTTGATGTCAGCCCTCAGTTTGATTATTTCCAGTCTTCTACTTCTCCTCGGTGAGTTTGCTTCTTTTTTTCTAGAACTTTCGGGTGTGTCTCTAATGTGTGCTTTCTCCATTTTCTTTATGTGGGCCCTTAGTGCTATGAACTTTCCTCTTAACACTACTTTCATAGTGTCCCATAGGTTTGAGTATGTTTTGACTTTATTTTCGTTAAATTCAAGGAAGACTTTAATTTCTTTATTTCTTTCTTATCCAAGGGGAGGTTCAGTGGCTGACTGTTTAGTTTCCATGAGTTTGTAGACTTTCTGGGGGTAGAATTGTTGCTGAATTCTAACTTTATTCCATGGTGATTTGATAGTACACAGGTGTTTACTACAATTTCTTTGTATCTACGGATGTTTGCTTTGTTACCAATTATGTGATCAATTTTTGAGAAAGTCCCATGAGATGCTGAGAAGGAATATTCTTTTCTGTTTTGGGGGAATGTTCTACAGATGTCTGCTAAGTCCATTTGGTTCATTACATCTGCTAGATCTCCTATTTCTCTGTTAAGTTTCTGTCTGATTGACCTGTCCATTTGTGAGACAGGAGTCTTGAAATCTCCTTCTTTTAGAGTGTGGGGTTTGATGTATGCTTTGAGTTGTAGTAATGTTTCGTTTACATAAGTGGGTGCTTTTACATTAGGGTCGTAGATATTCAGGATTAAGACTTCCTCCTGACAAATTGTTCCTCTTATGAGAATAAACTGTTTTTCTCCATCTCTTCTGATTGATTTTAGTTTGAAGTCAGTTTTGGTAGATATTAGTATAGCCACACCCGCTTGTTTCTTCAGACCATTTGATTGGAAAGCCTTTTCCAGCCCTTTACTCTGAGGTAGTGTCTCTCTTTGAGGTTGAGGTGTGTTTCTTGTAAAGAGCAGAATGTTGGGTCCCGTATTCATATTCATTCTTTTAACCTGTGCCTTTTTATAGGTTAATTGAGTCCATTGATATTAAGTGATATTTATGACCAGTGGTTGCTAACTCCGGTTATTTTTTCTGGTTGTAGTGTGTGTGTGTTTCCATTCTTTGAGTATTGCTGTTAGAGGGTTATTAGAATCTTGTGTTATTATGGGTGTTGTTGGTTTCCTTGGTTTGTGGTTTTCCTTCTAGTATTTTCTGTAAGGCTGGGTTTGTCGCTATGTATTGTTTAAATTTGTTTTTGTCCTGGGATATCTTGTTTTCTCCATCGATGGTGAATGCAGGCTTTGCTGGATATAGTAGTCTGGGCTTGCATCCATGGTCTCTTAGTGTCTGCAGTACATCTAGCCAAGACCATCTGGCTTTCATGGTTTCCATTGAGAAGTCAGGTGTAATTCTGATAGGTGTCCCTTTATAAGTTACTTGACCTTTTTCCCTTGCAGTTTTTAATATTCGTTCTTTATTTTGTATGTTTTGTGTTTTGATTATTATATGGTGAGGGAATTTTTTTTGATCCAGTTTATTTGGTGTTCTATATGCTTCTTGTACCTTCATAGGAATATCCTTCTTTAAGTTGGGAAAGTTTTCTTCTATAATTTTGTTGAATACATTATCTGGGCCTTTGAGCTGTAATTCTTCTCCTTCTTCTACCCCTGTTATTCTTTTCACAGTGTCCCAGATTTTGTCTTTTCACAGTGTCCCAGATTTCTTGGATGTTTTGTGTTATGATTTTGTAGGACTTGTTATTTTCTTTAATCAATGAGTTTATTTCCTCTGTAGTATCTTCGGTGTCTGAGATTCTTTCTTCTATCTCTTGTATTCTGTTGGTTATACTTGTCTCTGTAGTCCCTGTTTGTTTACCCAGATTTTCCATATCCAGCCTTCCCTTGGTTTGTGTTTTCCTCATTACCTCCATTTCATTTTTCATGTCTTGAACAGTTTCCATTACCTGTTTGATTGCTTTATCTTGGTTTTCTTGGGTATCTTTGTGAGATTTATTCATTTCTTCTACCTTTTTATTTGTCTTCTCCATTTCTTTACAACCCTTTTTCACACCCTGTTTAAGGTCCTCTATTATTTTCATAATGTTATGTTTAAAGTCGATTTCTTCTACTTCTTCAGGAATAGGGTGTTCAAGTCTTCTTGTTGCATGATCCCTAGAATCTGGTGTTGTCATGTTGCCTTTCAGGTTGTTGGACGAATTCTTTCATTGACGCCTGTCCATCTCTTCCTTCAAAGGCAGCCAGGAGAGTCTTGGTGTCTTGGTCCAATCTATGCTGTGTCTGACTCTGGGTGGTTCTCCTCAGTGCAGGAGCAGGAACTGTTCCCCTTTGGGTGGATAGCCTCAGTGCAGGGGTAGGCACTGTTCCTGGTCCAAGGACCTTGCAGCCAATAAGGCAGGCTTGGGGGTGAGTGGGCAAGGATATGTGGAACAATGAAGCCCCTGCAGCAGGAGTTGAAGGGGCCCAGTGCTCCTTTCTCATTCTGTAACTTTAATTTAAAATGGGCACATTAGATTCTACTCCATTATGATATCATAAGTGTTACAAGTATTTTCAAACAGAAATATTCCACTTTTCATTTTTAGGACTCAGTGAATTGATAGGATTCCTGGCCTTGTTGGTTACTCTTCTTAGGAATGCCATTTGTATCCAAAAAAGGGTTTATTGTGTGTAGTCTTCTTTCTTGTTAAACTATGGGCTAGAAACACTGACTTCTTTGCACCATTTAAAGTCACTGTCCTTGAGTTAGAAGACTCTACTCTCTCCCATTCATCAGTTTTCTAATAGGCTATTATTGTCTTTTCCGCTTGCTCACCGACTTCATCCAATCAATTTTTAAACAACATACAAGTAAGAAAGATGGTACCAGGCAAAATTCTTTAGGGAAAAGAACATTACATTTATTACAACAAGTGATTAAAGCATTAGTGTCTTTTTTCAGGTTGGTGAATATGGCTTCAATAGCCTGTGAGTTGCTCCGTGGTATAGATTATCCAGAAGTGGTGTGTCTCGTTAGCATCATTTCAGTAATCATCAGCAGCATGATTATCCACATTTAGTAGTTTGATGTAGAAATCATGACAAAGGCTATCATGCTAATATTCATCCAAAAATGGAAAATTAGGGTGTCCAGCAGCACTAAAATATGAAAGAAAAAACCACTGTGGTCTCAATGAATCTTGTTCAAACTAAATGTGTAATTACTGTTATTAAAATTTTTTATTATTTCTTGCTGGTTCTGGAACTAGAATGAATTTGAATTGATTTATTTTCTGTTTAGAGAATCTGCCTTTCATACTTTCATAAATGCAGTTTCATAAACATATTTTTAAAAAACATTAAAAAATTATTTAGATTACAGTCCCTGGTCTAGAATAGAAACACAGAAAAAAAGTTTTCACATAAATACTTCTTAGCTACATCTGTCAACAACACAGCACAGAAAACTCCAGAATCTTCTGCAGTTTAAGTTGCCTAATGAAAATAGGTACTGATTGTTCATGTTTGGTACAAAGACAAGTCTCAATATTTACCATTCCAAAAACTAAGAGTTCCTGACTTACAACTTCTAATTTCAATTCTGCTTAATATGCACTAGTTATTTTTATAATTCTGAATCACACAAAATTTATTGCATTTAAATAAGAGATATAATGTCTTTAAAATGTCTTCCATATCCATGGAACTTCCCATATATGTTTATTAATTTGTTTTTATAAATACAAACACAATTATAAAGTTATAATACTTAATAATCATTTAATTGTTTCTCTCTTTGTAGGAATTACATACTTTATCAATCATTTGCTCTATACTACAAAATTAGTAATAAGTCTACTAGTTTTTGAACCCAGACAATTGTGGATTATCCAATGCCATTTCAAGCACCATCATACTTATTTTTTATGAATAATATTTCATATAACAAAAGGATAATAGATTTCCTTTTCAACAATACCATTAGATGAAGAAGTACAGGCAACTATTGACTGCAAAGAGAACTATTATCTTCTGAGGATGAGTTCCTTGATTGGCTATTAATTACAAAGGGGTAAGTCTTGGAATCATATAAACATAAGCAACACTAAAGAGACTTATCAGACTATATTTATATATGTGCACACACATGTGTAGCACTACTAAAGAAAAAGAGGCTATAAAATTGACAGAATGTAAGAGGGAGCATGGGGTGGTAAGAAAGCAGAGGCATGAGAGAGGCTAGAGAGAGTGAAAGAAAGGGAGCAAATAATATGTTTTAATTTTATACATAAAATTTTATATTTTAATTCAAGGTAATTTTAAAACAATGTTTCTGGTTTCCTTATTTGCTCACATTTGTAACATACAGTTAGGATCTTCTTCTAAAGCAGAGAATAAAAGAGGAGAATCTTTTTAAATGTTATAAACTCTCTTTATTGACTATACTTCTGCATAAATATTCTTTCTTTACTTCTGAATTCCTCAGCAAAGCTTCTCTTAGCTTGTTCATGGAAAGCATTTTATCTCTGAAACTCACCAAAGGGTTCATTGTGGATTTCTGAACAAATTTTCACCAAATGAAGTGAGAAGTTTAAATAAATTTAGACAAATTGATGAAACATGTTTGTTATATAACCTTATAACATTTTTGTTACTTACACAGTCGCAGGAAAATATCTGAAATTTCTGTGCAGGCCATCTATGACTTCCACATCCTCTGGAGGCAACTGGAATTCAAGTACCTATTACACAAGGAGAAAAGGTTTTCACAAATTTACTCTGTAAAATTGCCAATCTTAAAAACCCAAGTTAATTAGATTGGTTCAGATACAATATTTAGAATATCTGATAAATTTGCAATAATAATTAAAGAAATCAAAAGCTGCACAAGTTATCGGGACTGTAAGTTAAATGAAAAGAAAACTCCTTCCTTGTGAGCATTATTTTAATTAATACTTACAGAATATTACATAATTTTACATAATTTACATAATATTGCATATCCATTCCACAGATCCTCCCCTTATCATTTTCTCTACTCTTTCATTCCTTATCTTCCAGCTGTGAAATTGCTTTTTATTTTTTTTTCATCTTTCCCATTGAGTCCATTTTATGCTGCCCACTTACTCTTGGTTTTGTGATAACAATAGTCTGTGAATAGTTTTCAGTGGTGACATCATTAAAGAAAAGTGATTCCTCTCAATAGCTTTCAAATATACCAATAACTTCTCAGCTAAAGGTGTTATTACATGTACATCTTATCCCTTCTTGCTAGAATTTTGCATAGCTGAAGCTTGCAAATATCTTGGGCATACTGTCACAATCACTTTGAGTTCAAATGCACATATCTGGAAAATATTATTTCCTTCACGTCATCAATAACCCCCAGATACTATTAACTTTCTTCCTCCTCTTCTACAAAGTTAGCTTAGCTTTGGGGTGATTTATATTGAAACTGTATTACATGAGGAAAATCAAATGTGACTAGAGAAAAAACAAAGATGGCATCACTGAATGACTATATTGCCATGTACATTAAAGGTTCGAGAAAATTTAAAAAAAATAGCTTTAAACATACAAATTAATCTACCAATTTTCATGGTGATCATTATATTTGAAAAATATACCTACAAATAAAACTTAAGTCAGGAGTTGTCCAAATATTAATGATATGTTAGGACAAAAGAACTGGCTTGAAAAATGCCTCATTCTCTAAATATGTGACAGTTTTAAACCTCAAAGTTACTTTCAAGAAAAGAACAAAAAAGTCTCATGTAAATGTACAAAGAAGAACCAGGCAGTGGTGGGACAAACCTTCAATCACAATACTCAAGGAACCAGAGGCAGGTGTATCTTTATGAATTCAAGAACAGACTGGCCTACAGAGTGAGTTCCAGGACAGCCAAAGATACACAAAGAAACCTTGTCTCTAAAAACCAAAGAAAGAAAAAAAGAAAATGAAAAATAAAAAAATAATATTTGAAGATCATCAATCAATTAAAATGACAAAGAATTAACTGGCATTATTTCAAAATAAATAAGCACATGTGAACTAAAGAATATGAAAATTTGGGGGACCATAAAGGATAACCATAATAATTTATAGAATAAAATTTGCTCAACGGGAATGCCATTTATACAAGTCTAACTTAGTGATGAAAACTAAGTCTCTGTATTTTTTATCAGATGATGCTTTTTCTATTATTTGGGAGGGTTGAGGAAGAAGAAGTATGCCAAAATGTATTCCATAAAAATTAATAAAACTAATTTTAAAAAATAAGGACTATTCTATTTAAAGTATAGAAAGTTTCAAATTTACTATAAAGTATAAAGATCAATGCAATTATTGCCTTTCACCTAGATTCATGCCTTCTGAAAGTATTTTAGTATTTATCAGTATTCCTAGAAATGACCCAGGATGTAAGCATTCACTTTTGCATTATGCTAGTAATTCTTAAAAATCATAATACTTGAAAGCTCATATGCACAGGAAATTCTACAGACAATGATTTGGCATGAGATTTACTTAGAGGTTTCCAAAGAAATTAACGGGTGAAGAATACCCAGAGTTCCAGATACCCAGAGCTCCCTACATCACCTGTATGTTCTCTTTCATCTCGTTCTCTTCATAACTATGTGCCAGGGCAATGACCCCACGCTGCATCTGGTAGCCAAGGGCAATCTGAGCTGGGCTTCTATTGTGTTTTTTGGCCATGGCACAAAGAACTGGATCATTCAAAAGAAATAGGGCATTCTGGTCTACCCTAAAAGGAAAAGTACAAATACTGAAATTCAGAAGGTATGTATTTGATTTCTTACGGTATTAACAAACACATTAAGGTTTGCTTTAGACTAGAAATCATTATAATTATTTCCTAGACAAGAATATCAGTACTCTGAGGAGCCTTTCTAAGATGAAAATACTCTGTCTTACTGAATCAGTTCAGAGTGAAGTCCTGTAAGTGGAAGATTTTAGAAATAAAATTTTTTGTGCTTATATAACACCTAAAAACTGCGCCAATGACCAGGGTGACACAATAACCCTAATGGTGCTGCAGTGACACACATTCCTTGGTAGTAATGCAGAACTCTCTAATTGGACTTAAGATCCTCCATTCAAGGGTGAAAACATGCCTGGTACTTGAGACCTAGCCTATTATTCAGTGATAATGAAGTCATGGTGTTGAGGAAATGGTTGCTTATTCGTCCTGACTTCCCAGAAGCAAAATAACCATGCAGAAACTGTATTAATTAAAATAGTGCTTGGCCCATTAGTCCTAAGTTCTTATTGGCTAACTCTGAGATATTAATTTAACTCATTTCTATTAATCTGTTTATCACCACAAGGTCGTGGCCAACCAGCAATGTTTCAGCACGTCTATATCCGATGGCAGCTCCATGGCGTCTCTCTCTCTCTTTCTTCACCTTCCTTCTCCCAGCATTCAGTCCAGTTTTCCCCACCTACGTAAGTTCTGCCCTATCAACATGCCAAGGCAGTTTTTTTATTTATTAACCGGTAAAAGCAACACATAGACAGAAGGACCTCCCATAACATCATGGAAGTTGGGGAATAACTTATAACTACTACTTAACTAAAACTGCATAGTCTTTAACAACACTCTAAATATTTGTTCTAATACCCACAGAATAGTGTGGTCTTCAGTTGGAGACCATTACAAAAGACCACAGCCATAATCAAGATTTGCAGAGGGCAGTCTCTATGGATACATCTGTAAAACACTTATTAATCTAAAGCATAGGGAACATTGCAAAAGAGAAGGCAGAATATTGTAAGAGCCAGATCAAGATGTTTGTTGTGAAACTGTCTCCTAATAATATCAGAATTTACATCCATGAAGTCTCATGAATATGACTGCCCCCAATATAAACTAAATAAAGATAATACCAATGAATATGTCAAAGCAGTTGAAGAAAAGTCCATGAGGCCTCAACCCTACATACAAAACTGCTAGAAAAGGTGTATGGTAAAGGGAACACTCCTTTGTTGATAGTGGGAGTGCAAATGGTACAGACACTTTGGAAATCAGTATGGTGTGTTCTCAGAAACCTACCTCAAGACCCAGTAATACCACTTTTGGGTATATACCCAAAGAATGCTCAATCATACCACGAGGACATGTGCTCAACTATGTTCATGGCAGCATTGTTTGTCATAGCCAGAACCTAGAAACAACCTAAATGCCTCTTGACCAAAGAAAGTATAATGAAAATGTGGTACATTTATACAATGAAGTACTACACAGCAGAAAAACAAATAATGACATCTTGTAATTTGTAGGCAAATGGATGGGTCTAGAAAACATCATATTGCATGAGGTAACCCACACCCAGAAAGACAAATATAATATGGACTCACTCATAAGTAGCTTTAGGACATAAATCAAAGAAACCAGCCTACAATTCACAGTCCCAGAGTTCCTAGACAACAAAAAGGACCCTAAGAGAGACATACTTGTATCTAATCTTCATGGCAAATAGAAAAAGACAATATCACCTGAGTAAATTGGGAGTGTGGGGATCATGGGAGAGGGTATAAGGGGAGGGGAGAGAAAGGGAAGGAAGTGGAGAAAAATATATAGCTCAATAAAAACAATTTTTAAAAAAATTGAGGAAAACTGGGAATTGGAGAGGTGACATTCCCCAGGAAAGAGCACAGTAATTAGTTTTCCAGGGTCAAACACTCAGTTCTGAAAACATAGAGTCGACATTATAGACTAGGCAGGTTATAGTTACATATATGTATAAAAATGCACACAATAGTGATTAGTGAAAAAATTGAAGAAAAGAAGGGTAGGGGATATATAGAAGGATTTGAAGAAAGAAAAGAAAAATATTGAAATGTACTTATAATTACAAGGATTAGTTGGGCTTATTACCAGATTTTTGGACGTTGAGAACCTAGGGCCGCATAAGCAACCAGAACAATATCTCTTGACTTGCAGAAATCCAACAGCTTGCTCTGGTTCAGATAAGGATGACATTCTACCTATAGATGGACAATATAAGAATACATTGTAGTATAAGAAATTCCACGTCATAAAATAACATTCAATGTGTCAGTATGTTTGTATATGTATATGTATTGTATACATGTATGTTTGTGTGTATTGGTATCCTTTCTGAGGAGAAGATATTAGATACATCAAGGCTTTAGAAGAACAACAAGCACTTACGACAATGAGGACCCTAAGAGAGACATACATGAAAGTAATCTACATGGGAAGTGGAAAAAGACAAGATCTCCTGAGTAAATTGGGAGCATGGGGACTGTGGGAGAGGGTTGAAAGAGAGAAGAGAGAAAGAGAGGAGAGCAGAGAAAAGTGTATAGCTCAATAAAATCAATAGAAGAGAAGAAAAACAATCACTCTTGTTCCATCTTTACAATCTCAAAAGTGTCAATATTGATATTAAAAATATGAAAATTAAACAAAACTTAAAAAGGAATGTATGTATATAAAAATAATGTACATACATATATTATACTGCAATTAAAGAAAGTAACATGACCTATTTCTTTTATAAAGTGTTTCATATCAGGGACCCTTTTTCCATGATTTAAAGATATTGAGAAATAATTAAAACAGAAGACAACAGTGTTTAAAATGTTGATTTGATTGCAGAAAACACAAAAGAGATGATGACCAAGATGTGCTCAGGATCAGGATCAGCTAGTGTTCTGTGAGTGAATTTTTTTTTCTGTGAGTGAATTTTATCTACCATTAAAACTACTATCATCAGGTAACGTGTCTGTCTAGCCTGGATCCCTTTATAACACTCCTCCAGTCAGGTACTATGCTTATGGCTCTGAGGTCACATTCATATCCACAGGTTTTTGTACTCATTGGGCATTAATATCACTTTGCCATCAGGAGGAGATACAATTGAAAATTTGTGATGTATTCTAAGACAAGACGTGTCTGTGAGATACTTGAATTCTATAAATTTAAGATGACTGTGAAGTACAAAGGAAAGGTTACACACTATATGACAGAAAGACAACAATGATGAACAGAAAAAGAGGCTTGAGAGCTGTCACCTGATTGCACACAGGCTTGTACTTGAGCCCTGGCTTATTAAGAATCATCTCCAGCTGCCTGCGGTTAAAGTTGGACACTCCAATGGACTTGACCAGTCCTGCATCCTTACATTTCTCCATGGCCTAGAGAAAGAGAAATTGTACAGAGTCATGTATACATTCATAAAATGTGTTGGCAAGTTTTGTATTACACTGACACAAACTAAAATAGTTTGGGAAGAAGGGCTCTCAATTGAGAAAATTATTTGACGTAGGTAAATGTGTAGGACATTTTCTTTCTTAGTGATTGATGTGGGAGTACTCAGCCAATGATAGGTGGCGTCATCCCTTGACAGGTAGTTCTGGAAGGTGTAAGAAGGCAAGCCAGCTAGTAAGCAGCACTCATCCATGACTCTGCTTCAGTTCCTGCCACTAGGTTCCTACCCTGTTTGAATTTTCCTGATTTCACTCAGTGATTGACTGCAATGTGGAAGTGTAAGCTGAAATAAACCTTTCCATCTTTAAGTTACCTTTGGCTACTGTGTTTTATCACAGCAATAAAAACTCTAACAAAGATATTCATGTTAATATGAATGAGAAATAGAACTGTTAAGAGAACTGTCTAGAAATTTCTAGAAATGCAAACAAAACAGCAACAATAACAAACCAACAAAAAACTCTAAATATGAATTACTACAAAGTACTTGATAAAACTAAACTCAAAGATAACAAACAATACAATTTAAAAATGTGTTATGGGATAAACCTAAGTTCCCTTCTCACCTTGTCACCTAACCCTGGCCCACATCTTTGATGGAAGCCTTCCACTCTACCAGAAGCCTGGACAGTACTTTAACTTTGGGTAAGCCACCCCCACCCTGCCATGCCTGTCTAACATAACCCCAACCACCCCTCCTAGTCCTTGCCAAAACATTCTTATCTGTTAAATTATGTAGCTTGATCTTCTTGTGGGACTTTTAACAGTGGGATTAGGGGCTGTCTCTGACTCTTGCTGATGTTTGGAACTTTATTTCTTCTACTGGGTTTCTTTGCTCAACCTTAATATAATGGTAGGTGCTTAGTCTTACTGTAACTTGATATGCCATGCTTTGTTGATGTCTATGGGAGGCATGCCCTTTCCTGAATAAAAATAAGGGAGGAGTGGATTGGAGGAAGTTCAGAGGGGAGTTGGTGGGAGAAACTGGGTAGAGAAGAATGATGGGAAAATAGGGTCAGGATGTAAATAAATAAATATGGAGGAAGGGCGGATATAGGAGTAGGGAAGAAGATATCTACATTAAGGGAGCCATTTCAGGGCTGGCAAATGACTTGGTTCTAGAGGGGAATACCAGGTGTCCACGGGGATGTTCCCAGCTAGGTCCTTGGGCAGCAGAGCAGAGGGTGCCTGAACTGGCCTTGCCCCACTATTACACTGATGATTATCTCGAATATCACCATAGAATCTCCGTCTGGCAATGGTTGGAGATAGAGACAGAGACCCTCATCAGAGCAACGGGCTGAGCTCCTAAGGTCCAGTTGAAGAGCAGAAGGAGAGAGAAGATGAGCAAGGAAGTCTGAACCATGAGGGGTTGGTCCACCCACTAAGACAGTGTGTCTGTTCTAATGGGAGCTCAGCAAATTCAGCTGGACTGGTACTGAATGAGCATGTGACCAAACCGGACGCTCTGAATGCGGCTGACAATGGTGGCTGACTGGAGAAGCCATTGAAAAAGGCACTGGGACTTGTTTCTACTGCATGTACTGGCTTTTGGGGACCCTAGTCTATTTGGATGCATACCTTCCTAGGCCTGGATGTAGAGGGGAGGGCCTTGGACTTCCCAAAGGGCAGGGTTTCCTGTCCTCTCTTAAGGAGGGAAGGGAAAAGAATAGGGTGAATGGGGGGGGAGGGAGGGGAATGGGAGGAGGGGAGGAAGTGTAAATTTTTGAATGGAAAATAAATAAAAGAGTAGATTATTTAATCTAATTTTTAAAAGCAACTGCTTTAAATGCTTTACATTGGATTGCTCTTTTGTATATTTTGTATATTGCTATAAATTTTGTATATTAGTATGAGTTTGAGAATAATTTGTTAGAATATATTATATATTTCTATTATTGATCAAGGCATTATACCTATATAATTTATTTAGCAATATAGTTCAAATTCCTAGCCCTTGAAAATTATTATTTCCGAGTCATTAGGATAAGGAAATACAGGATTAATAATAATTATATATTATAATTGAACTTGTGTCACATTAGGCATGTTTTAAAGGTCAACAAAGATATATTTTAGATAGTCAGGTCATCTTCAAATACTTCAGAGGCCTACATAGTATGGCATTTATGATGTTTTAATAACATAGGTTCTTTTCTATGATGATGTCTGCTCCTAGTAGCACCAATCTATTTCAGATAAAATAATGGGCACTGAAGAAACTTCATATGAAGTTTACATTCTTTGTGGCAAAAGTAAGTCACTTGGCAAGAAAATGTCTTTGCCTTGACTGCTGAGAGTATTTTGTCCTAATTGAACAAGCAGGACACAAAAGAAAGTGACTGCCAAACATTTTCAAGACAAGGAGGAACACCCCTTCGGAATATAATATCCTGCTTCACAGAAGAGTTTATCAGATACTGTAGGCCTATAGGCCAAAGATAGATACCTCAATGTTGCAGAGGAATTTTGGGTGACTCTCCAGGCACCCAGATATTTCTGTCATTTCTCATAATTTTTAGAAGTCACTTGCTAATACTTCTTGCTTACTCAGTTAATAGTATTTCCTTTTTGGGTCTCTGAGGGAATTGAAGATTAGATAATTATAGCTTACCAGACAGAGAGAGCAAGTTGTGATAGAAAGTAAATTGTATGTAAGACTTTGGACTCACCAAAATAGAATAGATGTAGAGTATTTTCTCTAAATTTGCCAATGCAAATGGACTACATGTTGTTAATATACTTATTGCCTGTATATATTTTATATAGCCTTGTACTTATCACATATAATTTTTCTAATATTAGTTACAGCCTTCCCCCTTTTTATTTTAGACAAAAGGGGAGATGTAGTGTTATTTCATTTGTATTTGAATAAATAAAGCTTGCCTGAAGTTCAGAGAGAAAAACAGCTGTAATGAACAGCCTTACAGACCGGGTAATGGTACATGCCTTTAATCCCAGCAGTAGAGAGGAATATAAGATGGGTAGAGACAGCTCTCAGACACAGTCTCCTAAGTTTCCTGGATGCAGGATCATGATGTTGGACTGAATTAGTTGTAAGAGCTAGTGGTTGGCTGTTTTTGCTTTTCTGACCATCAGGTTGAACCCCAATTTCTGTCTCTGGGTTTTTGTGAGTCATGCTACAGTAGTACAGAGAAGTAGTTAGCTGACTGTACTGCTCTTTGTTCTGCCTTTTGTCTTTCATCTGTATAAAACAAGTTTTGAAATAGGCTCTTGGATGTTTGGCTGTTTTGACTTGACCAAACAGACCTCCCAAATCTATCTGTGCTTTCTGTCTCAGTTTCTTTCATCTGATATTTCCTTAGCCTTAACATCCCTCAATCCAGGTATCCTGGCTGACTTTGTTGGAGCAGACTCACACATGGAGTTTGCAAACAAAGAAATAAAAATGGTTAAGAAATATGTTTTAGAATGTTCAACATCTACATCTATCAGGAAAATGCAAATTAAACCAATTTTGAGACTTAATCTTAATTAAGCCAAATTGCAAAAACCATGAAAGGAAAGGAAAACATACGAGACTAGACGTGGGAAAATGGAACATTTATTTACTGTTAGTACAAGTCAAAATTGGCACAGAGATGAATGAAATTGATTCTTTCATTCTTTTTGTGAGTCCTCTTGCCCCACAATCCTTTGACTACTAGGCCACATGACAAAGGGAGCAGAAGTAACAACTGGATCTTGTCCAGCTTGGAAGTATGACAAAGATAAACCTCTAATAGATAACATCAGTGAATTAGCTCAGTTTTATTCATAGAGAATATATAAAATCAAGGACAGTAGATAGGGAGTTGCCTAATTTGCATGAAGCACTTCTGTCCTATCATTCAGCTCCTAGTACTATTCTTAGTTATCATGTGTGGATGAATGGTCCTAATGCGTTTTTTTAATGCTCCTAGCACAATGTCTAATTACCATAAGAGCAGCATGGGGAACGCTTCTGCATGGAACTGCAACCAGGGTCATACTAGAGATAAGCCAGGAATTTGGGCCTAGAAACATTACCCACACAAGTTCAAGAAGACAGCAGTGCTCATTCTTCCAGGGGGAGGGAGTCATTCATGTTGCTGAGCTCAGAGAGAGCTGCTAGGCTGTGACAGACAGCAACCTCTGACTAGTAGGTACTCCCAGAAATTCCTCATAAAGCTCATATTTAGCTACTATTTGATACTGCTATATGACTAGGAATATATTTCAAGACATTTGCTTATCTATATTCATCACTTATCTGTTCACAATAGAAAGTGGAAACACCTAGCCTCCATTAGGGAATGAAAGAACATGTAAACATGGTCTAGATACACAATGTAGTTTTATTAAGCTGCAAATACAAATAAAAATTTGAAGTTAACAATTAGAATTAAAATTTTATTGCGTTGGTAAATGGATTGAGATGGAAATAATCATTCTTAGTGAGGCAACCCAAAGCAAGAAAGATAAATATCACATGTTCTCTTTTATATGTTAATCTTAGTTTTGAATTCTTAGGTATGTATTTAAATTAGAGTGCCTATAGAAGTCAGTAAATGAGAAAATGGCCATGATGGGGTAGGTTTCAAGGGAGAGTAGTAGAATACAGGTGGCATGAAAGCAGAGTGGGGAGTCATGGAGGAAGAAGTGTTAAGTGGTGTATGGACAGGAAAGCAAAGAAGAGGAGAAAGTAAGGGAGAAATAACTAACTCTGAAGTCTTATGAAAAAAAAAACCAAATGGAAACCTACTACTATAAAAACTTCTGTATACATATATATGGAGATGAGAAAAGCTTAATGGAGTTACCCTCTAAGAAGGGAAAATATCTTTTCTAGATATCATAGACGATCAAATAAAAAGCTGATATTTTTATTGTTATCACTTCAAATCAAATTTTTGGTCCTTGGAGGATGATAGACCCTTAAAACAATACAAGCTATTGTCTTTGCTCTTTGGTACTGTCCATAAATTGATGGTAAGATATTATTGATACAGATACCAGATTCTTGACTCACAGGACATGAAGAAAGACATCTGCTAGTGACGTGGAAGCTTTATCACTACTGAGTAGGTTTTATAGTGCTTGCAGTTGCTGTGCACACTAATAAGGGATGAAAATAGTCTATGTTACTTAGCTATAAACTCTATGAGCTACAACAATGAGCAGCCTGGTAAGAAATGTCCATTGGTCCATGAATACTACAACTGCTTATGGAGTTATCATCTACTTTATTATCAGATGTACAGGTGACCCCACAAGATACAATTCCTATTTGGTACTATTAACTGAGCCGAGAATCTGCAACTGTCTGGGACATAGGTCCTCATGGAGAGCCTATTATTATTCTCATAAATGGATACTGCCAAACTGCCCTCTAAATATTTATCTTTATTTTACAGACTCCCGAACCTTACCAGAAACCTCCTTTTTTGCAGTATGTGACAATTTATGAAGGCTTAGAACTGATGAAAGTGTAGAGCATAAGAGACTGTGGATTGCTCAGCCCTAAATCAGGAATCCTTACCAAAGGTTTTTCCCTAAAGTGCAGGGATCATCGCAGTAAGGGGGTAGAAAGATAAAAAGACCCACAGGTAGTAGAGGATTACCCTGAGCCATTTTTCACATATGTCAGGGTTTTGTACCCATGAACACACAGCCACTACACCTGAGTGAACAGCCCACACAAGTTTAAAGACAACCAAAGTCCCAGCATGGATCAGATGGGGCTCATAGACTCCTGCCCCTAGCTGAGGAACTCTTGTCAACTGGCGGGTGCTAGAGGAAGGAAAAGTTAGTTTTCATCGTTTTCAGCTTCTGATGGAGTACCTATCTTGCAGTACATTACCCCTGTGCTCATTGGGTTTAAAGAGGAATATATGAGTTGGGAGGAAAGTGGTGGTGAGGAGGACTTGGATGGTAGAGCATGGGGACAGACTTTATTAAAATACTCCCATATGTGATATTTCAGAGTCCTCTCACAATTGTACTCCAGTCTTCATTTCTGTTTCTCTCTATTTAGTCACATATTCTTTTCAATACTTCAGGAAAATACCAGTGAGCCCATGATGCTTTCTAGACTTAAGGGTACATACTCCATTCTCATAACTGAAAGCAAGGCCTGACTCTCTTTTGGATTTCTCTGATCTCTCACCTTCATGTACTCACCTCCCATGTAGCACAGAGATCTACTGTCTCAAATAATATTTTTCCATTTTCATCTTTTGTATACATCTCTTCTGATGGCTGTAATGAAAGCACTGGTTATAGAAATCTCAGCAAATACATGCATCTTACCCATTGCAATGGTCTTAGAAGTCAACTGGAAATAGGAAAGTAAACATCCATGAAATAAGTGGAACACAGCACCGTCTATCAATTATATAGACACATTTAATTAGGCTAAATAATGTAAACGACATACCTTAATTGAAATTGGGTAATGAATTAGATAGAGATCAACATAATCTAGCTGAAATTTTTTCAGTGACTTTTCTAAGCAAACTTGGACCAGTTCTGGTCGATGGAACGTAGACCATAGCTGTAGGGATAAAGAGTGGATGTTGTCTTAGGTTAAAAATAATCAGAATTGAGAAATTTTGTAATAATTAGGAAATTATGACCACAGGGAATACACTTTCTTTCAGTTGGGCTATTCAATCTGATCTGTCTGTGTAAATTTTAGAATATTATTGGTTACAGTTTGTTAATCCAATTAATATGGGAAAGGCACTAAAGTGGTAAAATTTACCAAGTTGTAACTGCTCGCATCTCTGAATAATGTATGTGAAGCTGCAGGGCGATTGGTAATGAAAAGTCCCCAGACTATCTTGATACAAAATATACAGCTTTAATAAACAGAAGTAAGACTTACAACGGCTTACACCAGAATCCAAACGATCAGTCCGGATGCAGAAGCCAGGCAAAAAGAGAGCTAGTGGAACACACTTGCTAGGTTTATAGGCAGGCTTTAGCCTGAAGGCGGCATGCCTCCAAAACAGAATGTGATTGGTTGAACTCCCCTATCATATATGGATCTTAAAATCCTAACTTTCTATAAGTATTCCATCCTCTCAGATCCCTGGAATTATGTTAGCATTTTTTATTAATATAAATCATGGTAAATGTGCTATGGACATTTGGTAATCACTGAGCACAAATTTCAGGAATTGGGTAGATTGTGTTTACCATTCCATCAACTCTTATATTTTGTTATTTTCAGTAAGAAATAAAAAAAATATTATAAATGTCCAGAATTTTCTATGCCACCTAAGTTATGAGGAAAACCCAAAACTGATCAAGGTTATTTCTGAGTTCACAGATCAGACTGAATTATGCTGTGTTAAGCCCATGGGCAGGAAAGAAAAGAATTTGAAAGCCATACATTTGTGGGAAAAATTTGTCTATGGCTCTCTCTGATTAAAACTAAGTCTTACATAGAATATATATGTGAATAACTGTTATACTAACAAACATATTTCATCTGATGGTAAGGTATTATTTTAGATTCTTTATATCACATTTCAATAAATCATAAACTAACTTACTGTACACATAATACCTTTGTAGTGAGGAATATGTCTTCTCTCTTCACAACACCATCTGCAATCTTACTTCGAATAGCCTGTCCTATCTCCTCTTCATTTTCATACACATAAGCAGCATCAATATGGCGGAACCCAACATCTATTGCTATTTTAGTCGACTCCAATATCTTACTCTTAGAAACCTAGATTGGGAAACAACATTATGATTTGGATCTAAATGTCCTGAGAGATATGAAGTTGAACATCATCTTCCATCCTATTAATTAAATGACAAAGTATTAGTTCCTGAAATACTATTTCATGCTTCACTTTGCATAAGGCTTTACAGATCATCCAGTGAGCAGCAGTGAAATACATAAGCAGAAGCAATCACTGTCCATGAGTGGACTTTAAACAGTTATAGGGTATTCACCAGACAAACTACTCAGACATGTTTTTAAGCCAAGAAAAGACCTTTATTAGCTTGCCAGTGACTACACAGGGCATTCAAGATCCTAGTCTAGTGCTGAGCTTTCTTCAGGGTGAGCTTTCAAACACAAAAATCATATCCCGAGTTGACTTCCGTTAGCAAGAACAGTTATCCAGAGCAGAACTACAGAAACCAAAAAAATAAGGTTAGTATATTTACTTTCCTAATGTTTATTTGATGGATTAGGTCTTTGTTTTAAATTTGGCAGGTGGTGCTGTCTATGCATTGAATTACACTTCCATCATGGGTCACTTGTGCTAAGGTTTGGGGTCCTGTTACATTACTGATGACATTCATTCCTTCCGCATGTGGAGCAATAAACACATACAAATGTTTGTGTTGGTCTCTTTTTGTTAATAAGAATTTGTTGCCTTAAGAATCTCTTCACACATGGGCAATGTTGGTTCATAATTGACAATACTTAGAACAATAAGATCATTGATTTCCTAGACCTGCCAGGAAACTGCATGTGGTTATGATCACATCTGACTCTCTCTCTCTCTCTCTCTCTCTCTCTCTCTCTCTCTCTCTCTCTCTCTCTCT